TGATGCTGATGCTACTGGTCTGGGAGCCGCATTTTGAGAACCACTGCTCTTAAACAACTATTTATTCATTAACCTGAACATAGTGTAGAAGCCAAAAAATTGTGACTCAGGGTAAGGCGAGATGGCAGAAAGTATTCTCTTCTTTTGAATATCTAGAGACATGTTTAGAATTTTTTTTTAAATCTGAAAGTATTTGTTAAGTTACAAGTTCACTCATCACAGAGATATTATTTGAAATAAACATAAAATGCAACACTTTATTAAAGTAAAAGTATCTTTACTATTAATATACAAATGGTGAAGAGTGACAATTTTGATATACTGTAAGCTATACTTTCAATGTCTCTCATAAATACAAAACTCCAACATTTGCAGTATAATTTTTACAGTTTAGACATATATATATACAGCATTTCATAGGGACATACTATATTGAAACAATAAGAAAACTTTGTGGAAATTAACATAAAAATATAGAATTTGAATGTAATATATGTGAAAGAAAATAAAAGATGGTATGTTTTAATGAACATGGAACACGTCATAGAATTCACATACCAAAAAAAAATTGTTTTTATTTTTCATAAGAAGTTCACACATTTCTAGCAGGGTTTAGAGGCAAACTCTAAACCATGAACATTTCTTTGAGTTGGAACAAATATGTTTGCTCTTAACAGTACCATTTATTTTATAGTTTGCAGGTCGTTCTCTAAAAACTCTATTTGCAATATTGAATTATAGGTTCTATCTGTGTTAACTTTCTCCTCTGGATTTCACTAGCTTTTCTTTTTTTGCATCACTTTAATTGGCCTTAATTTTTATCTAAGCAACATTACTAGTCTCTGGTCTAGTATTTCTCACTGTCAGGTCCTTCTTACCTATTCCTAATGTAGAAGTTCAGTTTGCCTTTCTGGATCCGTTCATTTTTTTGTTCCTCTACTACCCTATGTCTGGTTCTGATTTGAAATGCTTCAGCAGCCACTGGTTTGCTTAATCTTTTCCATGGAAGGCTAAAACCAGGTGCCAACCCATACGTGTTTTCACTTCAGAAAAGAAAAAAAAAATGTAGCAATATTTAAATTTACATGGGCAAGTTTTATAATAATAATTATTTACACTGTGTGGCCAGAATCCTGAAAATTATTAAAAAATAAAATTTAAAGTAGTGATACCAACTAATATATTTAACTTATTGATAAAATCCTAGTGAATTAAGGACAATTTTTCTAAGAATATTAACTTACCGAATAAATATTTACCGTTATATATAATATAAAAGTCTCTGACTTTTATATGAGGGGAAAATAATTAATTAATAATTAATTAGCATTCTTGTATAATGTTGTTAAGTAGATACATCTACATGAGTAAATGCAATTTTTAAAAAAGGAAGGGTGGGACCTGAAAGAAAATTATGTCTGTTCAGCAACTACTATGTCTGGGTCCTTATACTTTCTCATTTACATATATAAATGTTTCATCTCAGAGCATCGTTAAACCTATGAGTAGAATACTATCTAGAAAGATTTACATTTTAGGATTGAACTATTTCACTTCTGTGACCACCCTCAATTTAATTTTAGCATATGTCAATACATCCATATGCAATTTCAATGTGAGATACTATGTAATTATGCTTCAAAGGGTTAATAAAAAGATACTAATATTTTCTCTCTAAAAATAAATAACATTAAAAATCTTATTTTAAAAATATTTCACCTACACATAAGGTGTGTTGAACAAGCACTTTGGACATGATTACGAACAAGAATTCCATGAGAGAATTAAGTCGATCATTTACATTATTCTCCATGAAAAAGAACACTGAAAATTTAATAAATAATTGTAGTACACTATTTTAATATTTTTAAAATTAAGAAATGGAAAATACTCTACCACCGTAGTTGTAAATATTTTCATCAGTAATTAACATCCAAATTAAGGATGATTTGTGATCCCAAATTAAATATTTACCGACAGGAATAATGAAGACTCAAGATGCACCATGGTAATTTGTCCTATTTTTAAAAGTCATCTATTTGTCCTACAAGTGGTAAAACTTAATTTCAGCATATTTCATAACCTAAAATTCATAATTTCTAGAATATATTCATTGTCTAGAAAAAAATAAAAAACAAATTCAGAATATTTAACATATGTTTTTAAAAAGAATTGTTTTGTCATGAGTGAAAATAAATTACATAGTATAATTTGTTATACTTTATATTCAAGGTAAAGTAGTTTGAATAGAGCTTATTCACAGAATGTAAATAAGATAGTATCATTCAAGTGTCAGATATGGGCATAATATGTCATCAGAAATGGTGTTTGTTTGTTTTTGTTTTCTTTTAATAAAGCGGAGTGTTATGATAATTCAAAGGCACAAATATATCTTAATTATTTAAAATAAGAAACAAAATTAAAATATGATTATAAAGTTATAATTAATTGTTGGCACTCAAATAACTAATTTGATTAGTAAAATCTATTTATATAAATGTTTAATTCAAAGACTAAGATTGATATGACATTTGCTGGATCAAATAGCCTTTGAAAAATGATATTGTAGGTATTAATATTAAAAATAAAGAAAAACTTAAGAAACATTAGATTAATGTTAGGCATTAGTATCTATAGAATGCAATATCTTACCCCCAAAAAGTAATAAATAAATCTTTAGAAATCGTTGTTCATTGTAAAATATGTTGACACATTAATTTTGCCAGTTTTGAAAACAAAATATGTGTTAAAATCCTGATATTACTGTTTCCTCTTATATGTCATTGAATACAGATTGTCATTGCCTGATTGCACATAACCTATCAAGAAATACCAATGTTTTTGATTATATCTTTACTTGGTTTAAAATAGCATAGAGTTCAGGTTATTTCAATAGTATTTATATTCAGTCAACTCTTTTGACATTTTATGCTAATACTTAAGAGTACTCTCAGACAGTAAAAATAACATTTATACAATTATATGGATATGTTTAGTCTAGAATAAGAATAAAACAGGTTATTTCAGTTCTACTCATATTTTACAATTTACTACATCCATGTCTTATTTGGAAACTTTTACAAATAGAGTAATTTAGAGCATTCCATTGAAATATTAAGAAAAAAAAAATTATCACAGTATTGCCTTGCTCCTGCATGGCATGGGTTTCAAGGACAAGAGGTAAGGACCAATGGGACAACTGAAACAGTTCACTTGAAACAGTCCGTTTACAATTATCTCCAGATTATCTAATATCAGATCATTACTCTACATGAGTGGTAGGAAATTTAACAGCATATATTTATATATGTATATAAAAGAAATACTTGATTGCTTTACATGGAAAGTCCAAAGAAATGAGAGAAACAGAACTTTCAAATTGAGAAAACATAAAAATATTATGTTCTTTATTATGATTTCTCTGCTCTTGAAGTATAGCACAAATATAACAATAGTAAACATGCGAAATCACTTTCTCAGTCATTCTAATGCTTTCACCGCCATGAGTTTAAAACCATGTGGCCCTATCCAAGGAAAATTTAGCATTCATGGCTATTGCTTCATGAACACTTTACTAAGCTCGTTCACTTTGCACAAACTAATTCAAGTATTTTCGACTAGTTTTAGCACATTGGTACAAAACGAAACAAACAAAATTACAAAAACACAGCAAAATGAAGTAAAACAGATGATCAGACAATCGAACTAAACAGCAACAGTTAAATCCGTCAAAGACCAGTTGGATAATCAAGTTAGTTAAAATGACCTAACTGGTTTGTTTGTTTACAAACTATTCGAATTCCTAGGTAGGCACAGGAAATCTGTTCTTGCTCTTCAGAATATACCAGAAGGATAGCAAGGAGAGATTCCTGCATTATAACCCTGCAATTTATGTCAATGAAATACTGTGGAGACATAGTGCCTCAACATGCAGATGGGAATATTCTGTCCTGCTGACAGCCAGAGAGTGAGGAAGAATATAAAATTACTTAGTGGTCTCCCTTTGGCTGGCAGTTTCAAGCACTTTGTAAATAAAAATATTCATGAGTGGCATTAATATTACATTTAATGTTCACCAAATTATCTCTATAGAGAGACACTCACAAAGCAGGTCCCTCTGCACTGTTAAAAATTCCAATGTTCTTTTGAGACACATTCCCCAACCAGTCAATATCTGAGCTATAGTATCCCCTGAAACACCAAAGGTTATGAATATGGTGAGGCCTGAAGAAACCTTTGGCTCTCTAGGTTAAGAAATAATCTAAAACCTGCTCCCAATTGGTATGTATATTTATAATCATAAATACTTTTTTTTTTTTTTACCTTACATATAAGTTAAATTATGTTTCGGTCTTTTACCTTTGGGAGCTTGCATAGCTTGGAAGTTAATACGTATTTCATTCCGGTATAGGCCCTAACAAGTGACATTAGAAAGTGTGTTGAATAGTTAATGAATTTCTTCAACCCAAGTCGTTTATCAAAATCTTAAAATGACTTCTAGCTACAATATTCAGAATATGAACAAATAGTTTTTCATTGACACTTTTATGGCACATTTAAATGTTAAATAATATCTCCTTAATTTAACCAAACTTAAGTTTTTAATTTCCATTAGACAATTAAATTTAACAATAGACTGATAACACTGGGAAAATTAGTTCTTGAGCAAAGTTTATCTGAAACTATGGGCTAAATATATTGGCTGAATATATGATTTGAAATACTTGAACACTGAAGACTTGGTTTTTGATAAATTATTTAAAAAATAAAAGAAAATCACATATT